GAAACCGGTTCATCAAAGATTTACAAAATAACGTCCACTGCTACAATGTACAGCGTGAAAAGAAGTATGTGTACGAAACCGGTACATCAAATATTTACAAAATAACGTCCACTGCTACAATGTACAACGTGAAAAGAAGCATGAGTACGAAACCAGTTCATCAAAGAACATGTAATTTTAAAAATTTGACAGGGAAGATAAGACAAATTGTTACACGTAAATAAAAGTTACTTTGTGAGGTCTTATAATGCACTGTTGACTGGTCACTGAACTAGAGGAGGAACAATAATATTTTTCTCGGACATAACCTTTTAAACAATATTCCTATAATGTACTGTTGACTGGTCACTGAACTAGAGGAGGAACAATAATATTTTTCTCGGACATCACCTTTTAAACAAATATTCCTTTAATGCACTGTTGACTGGTCACTGAACTAGAGGAGGAACAATAATATTTTTCTCGGTCATCATCTTTTAAACAAATATTCCTATTGTGTATTGAAGAAACTCCACATTTTACCAACAATTTAATTTTACACTTGAATTAAACTAGTAACGTTTATCACTTGTGGTCAGTACTTGGGGACCAATTATGTGTATGTATATATATATATATATATACATATATATATATACACACACACACACGAACCCAAACAGTATTTTTACGCGGTGTGCAACTTCAAATAACACTTATAAATATTTTCATTATGGTGTACGTAAAAATGGTAAACTTAACAAATGAGCTTGTATATTGAGTGTCACAATTGATTAATGTACCTTTCTCGTTTAATGAATGTTTTTAGACCTAAACAGCTTGCATTTTCTATGCCTGATTTTCATCTCATACTGAAAGTAAAATAAATGAGGAAGAGAATAGGGTTTGATCCATTTCATTACGGTGTTGGTTGTGATAAAAATGTTGATTTACAGTTAATTTGTTATAGCCCGATCCAAGATATACGTCATTTCCTTTTCCGGATAATTAGCAGCAGTTACTGCTATCAGCAATATTGGCGGCATCTGGGAAGTTATCTTTTAGTAAAAGTGCCCTATTGATGAGCTGATAATTTCCAAATGTAATTATACGTAAATATAGTGACTTTTTCCATCCTTCCTTCATGCTGAGCCGAGTTTATTTCGTCTGTAGCACTAGTGCCAAAAGTGAAATCTTTATTTGAACTGATAATTGTGTGTGCGTGTGTGTATATATATAAAACTGCTACACAATATTTTCGTTGAGTTTTACACCTACGAAAGAAAACGTAACACAGGAAGATCTGCTAACTCTGGGTGATATTTTGAAAAGCTGGTCAGGTATCTAGTTTAAAACATTTTTTATGTGCACAAGTTTAACCAAAACAATGGTCCAATCAACAACTACAAATCGCATACAAGAAATACGGTAGAACTGGTTGCTTGGTTAATTGTTTTTGACTAGTTTGATAATTTCAACAATAGTTGGAGTGTAAAGGCAGTGCATAAACTTATAAAACTAAATGACTAAAATTACTCGAGTTCTGTGTGTTTAAATTTGGGAATTATATCTTTCATTTTGCGAAATTGGTTGCTTCGCAACTGGCCTAAACATTATACTCTCATAGGATTACTCGTTATTCAACTGGCTCACGAAGTTTCTTTTTACAGGATTGGTTGTTACTTAGATTGCTCACAAAGGTTCCTTTTACAGGGTCTGTTGCTATTCAAATGTCTCAGAGAGGCTCATTTCACGGGGCTGGTTGCTACTGAATTGACTCACAAAGGTTCATTTTATGGGATTGGTTGCTACGCAACTGGCTCACAAAGGCTCCTATACCGAGTTAGTTGCTACTCAACTGGCTCACAAAGGTTCATTTTATGGGACTGGTACTTAACTGGTCCACCGCGATCTAATACAAGGGAAGTGTTGTTACTCAACTGACTGATATAAGTATTTAAGGAATAGTGTCAGCTTGTTGAAGATTCAATAGTTGAGTATATGAACAGACATTTGTTACTGGTAGTTTATTTTCTCGCAACTTGCTCACAAATTTTTAACAGGATGACTGAGAGACTGAAGGTTAAATTTTTGGACACCTGAACATAGTTCCGTTTAGTGGTTGCTACCTGCTATATCACGATCCACGGTAATGGTTCATAATAAGGATTGCGTATTTGTTATTTAGTATTTTTTAATATTGTTTCGCCAGCCTACATCAAAAACAGCTGTGAGTATTGTTATAAAAACCCGGGCAACATTACTAGATGCATCATTGCACATTGTGTAGGTTAGTTTTTAAGTTTATTTGACTATCTAACAAATAACAGCGGCTGTATAACCGTTGACACCTAATCGTTTTAATGTAGTCTGGTTTATATGGAGCCTCATAATCTACTACGTGCATATGCATATAGCTGCGTGCAGGCCGTGAATGAAATTTAATGTTTATATGACAGGCATGACACGTGTACCATAGCGATTATTAACTTATTGCTACAACTGTATTGATGTCTCGTATCATTTGTTTATGTATAGGGTTCCTGCCCTTTCTGACACGACACTGCTGACAGGATATTTTTTCTAACCACTACATGATTGATTTCGGCCACGTTATATAAACGTCTAGGCTGTCTCCCACAACAGAAACTGTTAAGCCTTAAATCCTTAAGAAATATTAAAAATGCTTATTTGTATACATATGTCATTATATTACGACACATTGTCTAATCTGTGGATTGAATATATATGGACACATGTACACAACTTGAAATATTCATATGGCCAATATGCATTGTATGTGCTGCATGTATAACATTCATGCGGCTACAAAATTCAGTCCATGTGCTTCAGACATAATGTTTGAGACATGGTGTTGACGTTATTTCTTCAAGCTAGAAATCCCTATTTTTTACTCTCCTAAATATTACACCTTTTAGACATAGGAATTTGTAGTTTGAGGAAATAATCAACACT